TTGCGGAGGTTGAAGAAGACAGATACTCACACTGCGTCTTCTGTGCTTGGTAGCAGTTTCAGCATCTGTGTAATTTTAGCCAGAGAAACATGGCAGTGGTGGGATATTAGAGCCCCTCTTTCACACTCCTGGGATCTCAGTTGAAATAAAATTTCATTCACGAGATTGGGGATTAAATTCAATGTCACTCTGGTAGATACCCTCCCCACTGCAGCCTCCTGGGCTGTTCAGAGGGGGGAATCAGCTGCCCCTGTGTTCCACTGAATACGCCACTTCTGTCCACAGAATGCACCAATGGATAGAACCCTGATCGCTGACCTCAAATGTTTCATCTAGAACAGAGCAAAAGAAACAACATAGGCCGTATTTTGATGGTGGCAAAATACGGATCATGACTATGTTATGACTGATTTATCTATCTAATCTTTCTTGCATTCAATCTTTCTTTCAATGAAGTTTATCACTAATCTTGAAAATGATTCCCAGTGTATTGAAATTCAGAATTATCTTCCAATATTAAACATGCAACAGTACATCTCTGACCAATCAACTTAGTATTGAACTCCCCTCCCCTCCCCTCCCCTCCCCTCCCCTCCCCTTCATATTAAAACGTTGAATGTTAGACAGAGCCAACCAAGTCATTTGCCAGCTTCAGGTGAAGGAGAAAGCACTTCTTCTTCCCTGCATCCCATAGACATCAGTTGGACTGGTAGCTGAATCCTTTTTCAACACTGGTGAGAGGACGGCATCCTCCTCCACACCTGAGAAAAGAAGGGTAACTGGGGGTGTGCTTAGCAGGTTCTGTGGTACACATTGCTGTGTCCTCCAGCAGAGAAAATTATTGGGGGTGGGGTGGAGGACACAGGAACATCCCCTGGATTGGCTGCTGGTACTCCCTGAGCATACAGCCCTCCATCTCATGGTGGGGCTGGCCCCAGTGCTAGATATCAGTTCCGCCCAATGTGTAGAATGCAAGAGAATTACGACATCCAGGTTCTTCCAACAAATGATTAAAATTAGAATGAAAAAGTAAGTTGAGAATTATCTTTATTGCACCACTCCCAACACATGACTTTTTGTTAGCATTGAGGATAAGAATGCAGTCGTACATAAAATAAGCTATCCATTTTCTGCTGTGTCCTCCTGCCCTTCACATATTTTCTCAGAACAGTTTTTTTTGAACAGTAGGCTTGCTACCACTAGTTTATCTTGTGAAGTTTATCTTGTGAGGTCAATGAGGATTTAAAGCAACACAAGGGAAGGAACAAAAAGTGTACTTAGTACATGTGTTTTTGCTTATAATAATAAATAATCTGCATGATATACTTTGAACAAACATAAAAGTTCCCTTCTGAGTCACAGGGTAGTAGTGGGAGCATTGCATTTCCTATCAAATGTTAGGAAAGCTTAAAATCATTTAAAGGGAGTAAGTTAAAATACTGGGGAAGAAACCCTGTGTAAAGGGTGGACCTTTCCCAGTCAACAATTACCTTGAAAGTTGACTAGAATTATAGTCTAATTAATTCATACATTTGCTTCCTTTCGCAATCTCTGTGTGGTGACTTAGTCTAGCACATTCTCATATGGAGAGGTGTTTGAAATAGTATATAACCCAATAGAAATATCTGTGAAGATACTGTCTTTGTAGAAAGACTTTTTGATAAGGTTAATTTATCAAACTTGTTACCTTGGTCGATTTTATAGTGTGGTGCATTGCTTAGAAGGTTAGACTGGGACTTGGGAGCTCCAGGTTCTGATTTTCACTCAGCCAAGAGGCTAACTAGGCAACTATGAGCCAGTTGCTGACTCTCAGCCTAACCTACCTCACAGGGTTGTTTTGAGCATAAGAGACAGCTTGCTGAGCTCTTTGGAGGAAAGGCAAGATAGAAATGTAACAAGCACATGGTAGGCAGGTTGTGAGTGGAGTCAGACTAGATGGCCCAGGAGGTCCCTTCTGACTCGCTCTGTTTCCATGTTTCTAAGTAAATACAGAACATTTCCTCAAGTAGACTTGGCCACCTTAGAAGTAAATACATATAAATCTGCATTGTCTAGAAATAGCAAGTTGTGAAGTAAACCTGTGTTAAAAGAACAGTGCTGTAGCTTTTTATAATGTAGAGACCTGAGTTGAGTGTGCCATCTTAGCCGGTCAACTCACACTGCTTTATCAGTTCCTTGTGCTAATGGATGCCACAAAATTTGGACTCAGAACAAATGACAGTGAACAACTAACTGGAATTTTAAAACTGTGGTTTGGATCCAGGAACAAGGAGTAGCTGGTTTTCCACACACACCCAACTCTCCCTGCTGAGAAGGAATGGGTAGACTATGGGAAATTAGGTGGCACCACTCTGAGAAGGTACCTCCACCTGATCTTGCCCCTCACACCCCTCTGCTCTCCTTAGCAGTGATTGAAGCCATTGAGGGTACATTGGGCAAGAGGTGGGTTTGTGGACGATGGCAGGGAAAAGAGGGTTCAGGCAAGTCATCTCCTATTGACCCACTTCCTTAGATGGATATCTGGACCCAACCCACTGAATCACTTCCTTTTTGGTTCATTGCAACTTTCACTGCTATATTAACTCTGGTCTAGCAATGTGGAACTGGAGAATACTTACCCGTAGGAAGCGCCATGTAAACACCTCATTGCGTCTAAAGCCATTAGGACTGGGCCGTTGCATCGTCTGTAGTTAGCACCCAAGGTCACATGGCATCTGGTGAGCCCTACATTTGTGGGTTCAGGCTTCAGAATGGAATTCCCAAAACTGCTCACCAAGTAAACTCTAAAGCTCTTTAACAAGAGGTTCAGGACATAGCATTTTTCAAATTCTTTCCTTTTTCCTCGTCTAATCACAGAAGCAACTACTCCAGTCATCCTTTATTTGTCTGACACAGGAGAAGAATGTTTCCATTTTTCTAATCATAGAAGCAACCTCTGTTATTGTCAATGCATCTTCACTTGATGGTAGACTGTTTCTGTGAGGAGATACCTATGAAGCTTAGCTGAATGCATGACAAGCAGTGGTTCAGTCTGTTATGATTCGAGATGCCAGAGGTTGACTCCTAGCACTGTTGCTGATTTGTGGTGACTTGTGGTGACGCTAGGCCTGGATCACAGAGGCAAAGTCCAGAGAACTTGCTCAGGAGGTCTCACAGTTCAGTGTAGGGAGGAGATGGGTAGGGAAGGATAAATAGTGTAATGTGAATTCTTTACTTGGTGTGTTTTGTTACTGCAGATAATAATGGAGTGCCACCAGATTACCATATGAATTACCATGTATGAGCCAGTTGTTCTGTTTTATCTTTATTTAGTTTTCTTCAAAGTAATGCATTAAGCATAACTACAAATATAAATCACTATTTATTCATAAAATAACTGATTCATTAAATGAGTTAACATGGGGTTGGGAGCAGATTTAGACATGCAGAATGGGGCTGATGGAAGCAGAGTGCCTTTTCCCCTCCTGCAGAGCAGTCCTGCAGCCTCCTGGGAATGCAAAATAGAGGGTCAGGGGACCTTGCGTCAGAGGGGCGAGATGCAGTGCGCAGGGTAGGAAGGAAACCCATGAAGAGCAGAGAATGTCATCTTTCATGGGCAGAGGCTGCTTACCTGCCTGCAGAAGGCAGCATGTATAATAAAAAGGTAACTAATCCTTATCTGATATTTATCTGTTATTCAGTGAACTTTGTAACTATTCCAGGTATTCAGCTGTTTCAAAATCTAGGCATTTCCACTGGAATGGTCTACTTAAACTGAGCACATAATTAAAAAATAAAAATAAAATGTGATTTATCTTTCAGATTATTTGCAGCAGATGGGGATGGACAGTTGTTTAGTAGTAAAGCGCACCAAAATTCCCAAGCTCAATCCCATGTTCATCTCCAAGTCCTGAAAACCTGGAGAGACACAGCCAGTCAGCTTAAACAATACTAAGCTTTGAGACAAGTGATTTTTCTGCAAAGAACATACTGGCCTATATACCTTTATAAGTTGTACTGAACCTTCCAGATAGTTTGCTGTTTTTGTTTCTCACCCTTCTCCCAAGGAGATATGACTAGAATGACATTTTAACATCAAGAAACACCCAGGAGGTAAATTAGGATGGAGATAGTAGCTCTTTTCAGACAAATGATGGGTGATTGAAAGCACATGGTGAGGAAGAGTAGTTGAATTCTATCCATGTAATTTTCTGCAAGGAACCAACCCAAGATGGCTTACATAATGCTCCTCCTCCTCTCAATATTATCCTTATAACAACCCTGTGACATGGATTAGGCTGAGAGTCAGTGGCTGGCCCAAAATCTGCAGTGAGCTTCATGGCTGAGTGGGGACTAGAACTTGATCCTTGGGAGTCCCAGTCCTGCACTTGAATCACTACCCCTCTGTGGTGGCAGGCATTGCCCCAAACTTTCAGCAGACTGAAAAAGAGAGCCAGGGTGGGTGCACACCATGCTAGCACCTGAGAACCCTGCACTGATTCTCACAGTCTGCCACTTGCTCCCAGACTGAATAGAGGGCAGGTGTGGAGCCTGTTGCCCCCACATTCAGTCACTTTTCTGAATTCATTTCTTGGCTGGAAATGGCCAGTGAGTTGCCAAAGAATGCCAAGTGGTACTTATGGCTGGAATCACTTGTGCCCAAACATAGACCACCATTTTCTAACCACTGCCCCTGCTCCCACCACCCTGCTCCAGAGGGGTGCAGAATACATTCTGATATCATGGCTATGAATATGACTACATTACTTGCAAGTTTCTCAGAATTTATTGTTGACCCAAATCCCACTGAAGTGTCAGAAGAGCAGACTGTTACCTGGTGGGTTGGGAAATTCAGCTTGTTTCAGAAATGCCCCTTTTTAATTGGCTTTGGGATGCTTTCCTAAATGAGCTTAATCCCCACTGTTTAATGCCTGGAAGAAAAATACATTCTGATGTGTTGTTATTCCACTCTTATCAGTGCTGTTTTCATCCAAATAACTGCATCTCTCCTCATTTTTTAGGGATTTGAAGCCAGAAAATATCCTGTTAGATGATTACGGTAAGTCCAAGAGCATTAGGCAATGCCTTTTACTACAATAAAGTAGCTTACATTTAGTTGGGTGACATGGACTTGTACAGTTCCAAATCATTCTTTACAGGCAGTAAGAGGCTGAGTGGTAACCAGGGCTAGTCTTGAAATACAGAAAATTATAGGGCATTACAAGGGGAGCAGACTGTGCTATCATAAAAAGCAGTGTGCATTAAGTGATGATAACATTACTAACAAGTTTTTTCTTGTTGTTGCTTTAAGAGGTTTGTATCCTCCAGATCTCTCTCTCTCTTTTGTCCTTGATCCTCCTCTTTGGAGATATTTTTATGACAAAGCATCGCCTTTCATTAGCTCTGAAACCACTAACTATCATACTACCTGCTTTAAGAGAAAATGACCAGTCTTCCGTTGTGTTTGGCCATTTTTTTTATCGTGGGTATCAGGAGTGTGCCTTCTGAAATTAAAGTTTGCAAGCCCAGACCCATAAGATGTATTTTCTCAAATCTTGTCTTGACCACACAGTTGACTCAGATAAGCATGAACTATCCAGTTGGCATTGCTGGCTTTCTGGGTTAAGTGTCAAAAGAGAGGCATGTCTGCCTTTACTTGAGACAATAATACCCAAACTCCCAGTTTATGCCGCATCTTTCTGCAGTGAGAGCAGGAAACCACAACTTGCGTCAGTCCATTGTCCTTCCATGCAAAACATGTACTAATCTTGTGATTTCCATAAAAATAGTGGCAGGAGTGTGGTTGCTTGGATTAAATATAGAATGGCAGGCAAATTCTAAGGAATTTATTGCACCTTAAATACCAATTGGCCAAGAGTTTCGCTATTTCTTTCTTTTTCTTACCATTGAAAAACCTTGCCAATGCTTCAAGTGGTGGTTTATCTGCTGTGACCACATTCATAGGACGAAGGCCACTGGGGACTGTAGTGAATTCACCCTTGCCAGGGGTCTCCCTGAGGTGTGATTTCTGTAAGTAGGTAACCTTCAACCAATAATCCACTGTCCGCACTCAGTCCCTCCAGAGCGACAAGTTAACTTGCATATGTGGGCTACAGCTAGATATTGGCACACTCACATTATTTTACAAATCACAGGAATTTGAGACAAGGTTTGGCTTTCCATCCCCTACTTCAAAAGATCGAATTATTTACATGATAACAAGATAGGTTACTAGAGCAAAGAGCCCATACAAAAATTCAAAGCAGTTGCTTTAGCAAACAAAACAATCCAAAAACCTTTCTAAGAATTGTTTCAAGGGCATGTCTTTTTTAAAGACTAAAATGGCTTACTTATATAACCATTCTAAGCTCATCCAAAAGAAATAAAGAAATCAAAGTGAGGGCAGATTATTCATCCTTGTGCCAGAGTCTTGGAAACTGAAAGAGTGCAAAAACTTCTGAGGCAAACATTCATGACAGAAACAGCACTGGGACAGCACATTGCATCATTCCTTGTGGTATCCTGTGCCAGTGACATGGCAGGGAAATGAAAAAGGAAGAAAAAACCTTGGCCACTTTCATTTAAGGTGAGATAAACATTCTTAAGATTCCTTCCTGACCCCAAAAGTCACTTGACATTTTCATAAGGGATGAATGGTCCTTGAAAAAGGAAGGATATTTGTACTAGCTATAATATAAGCGAGTTTCCTAGGCACTTTGATTGGTTTTTCAGATGAGGCCTTCCAAAGCGCTGGTATCATTTTCTTCCTTACAGTGTTAATGCACATAATGGTGATGCACATTTAATAGAAAAGTGATTGTTTCTACAGGTTTGTGGCTATGCTAGAACATTTGCTTTTTCCACCCACTTTAGGCCATATCAGAATATCTGATTTGGGTCTAGCTGTTAAAATCCCTGAGGGTGAATCAATCCGTGGACGGGTAGGAACAGTTGGCTACATGGGTAAGTGACCTGCAATCTTATCCTGGATAATGTTGTTTCAAATTTTCCAGTACAGAGTAACCAAAACACATTGGTGAATGACAGAGCAGTCTTAAATCAGAGGAAGTAAACAGCCCTTCTCTTGGTCAGTCCCTGGCATGCAGAATGACTTTACCTATTCACAGTTGTACTTATGTTCTATTCGATTTTGTGAGTTCAAGTTCTTGCCCTAAAAATGGTGTTAATTACTGCATTTTTGAGGTTTAGATTGTGTTGCTTCTGCAATCCATTTTTTTAAAGATTTATTAACTTTTTTAGCTGGGGCAGTGTTGCAGGAAGGTTTTGTCATGGCATTAGATTTCATGACAATGATTTGCAAACATGGTGTTCATCAATGGGACCTAAGTGGTTGCATGGGATGGAGACTCTGTAGCAACTTGAGCCTGATGAACTGCTTGAATGATACTGTCCTAGATCTAGCTGATTCCGTGTGGCAGTCTCCGTTATTCCTGAGCTTGGTTTTGGGTAACTGTTCATTCTCAATATAAACTTAATGCCGTATTTCACATCTGTACTGGAACTACTGATGCGAGAGAATACATTCAATATGAGCAGCACTCCGGATAAATCCAAAGGGGTTTTCTATACCTGATGTGGGCAACGATTTTCACATGACACAGAACCAGACCATGCTGCCTGATTGGTTTTGCTTGGCTCCCCCTGGAAGTGGCTAAACAAACCAGGGGTGCTTTGTTTATCATTACCTGTTTTGTTATCATCAAACACAGAGATAACAAACCTCAGCTGAATGGCCCATGGTTCACTTATCTTCTTCAGCTTGTAAGAGAACTCCAGTGGGATTGATAGCTTGAGCATGATAAGTCAGTTTGTTGTGGAACTGTCATGATCCAGGACTGCAATTTCACCTTTTCAGAATAAGAAACCTCTGCTATAGACTTCTCAGATTCAGAAGAAGGCACAGCCATGGAAGAGCCCCTACCTATTTCCTCTCTTCAGGGTTGTTAGTTCTAGCAGAGCCCACCAGTCCATGTGCGTGGACAGGAGGTCACATTGCCATCTTCAGACTTTAAATATTCTGGTTCTTTAGCCAGAACTGGTTGCCTCAATGCTTTACGGTTGGTTTTGAAGCAACTGGCTCTACTCTCTTTAAGGGAAAGTGCTTTGTGCAGTGTGTGGAAGGAACTAGCAGCTTCTGAGAAGCCCAAGTCCTTTTTAAGGCTCCACCTGAGACTGCCAGTTGTTGGAATAACACACAAGGTGCCCTTATTTGCCTTTCAACTCCATGTATAGCTCTCTTTAGTGGTATTCACTCCTTTTACTTAGGCAGCATCTAGCAATGACTTTGGATGACCTTCCTTCTGGAATCTCCCATGTACCTATTGTCCTGGAACTTGACACTTGCTATTGTCAGATTTTTGCCATTGCATTTGAACCCTTGGTTGTTAACCAGCAGTCTGGGTGAATTGGTGGGTGAATTTCCCCCATACCTGCACAAACATCTGGAAATAAATGTATCAGCTAAGATAGAGCAAATAATTCCCAGCTATTTGATGTGCTACTCTATAAAAATGCCTTACCCCATTATTAGATAAACAACTTCAGGTTGACTCCCAGAAATAGTTGTAAGCTAAACTGGCCCTTAACAAGGCCAAAGCCCACATTGAACCTTTTCTTTGTTTCTTGAACTTGACTAGCATGTATTTATTACCTGTTTGTGTTATAACATCAATATAGATGTGGCATTTCCACAGATCTAATTTTTCTTCTCTTTCCCAGCTCCAGAAGTCTTGAATAACCAGCGATACACTCTTAGCCCTGACTACTGGGGTCTAGGTTGTCTGATCTATGAAATGATTGCAGGACAATCACCCTTTCGTGGGAGGAAAGAGAAAGTGAAGCGAGAAGAAGTAGACAGGAGAGTCCTGGAGACTGAAGAGGTGTATTCCCATAAGTTTTCTGAGGAGGCAAAGTCTATTTGTAAAATGGTAAGAGGATGCTTTTGGAGCTCAAAGTAAATTAACATTTGTATTGAGCAAGTAGTTTATAGTTTAAAACAAAAAACCAATCTAAAACTCAGAAGCCTGGAAATTAATCACTGATCATAGAGATTGCACTGAAGGGTCACTTAGAAAAAAAATCCTTTGCAAGATTAGAGAAAAAAAGGCCTATAGTTCCCAGCAGGTCCCATCCAGCATGTTTTGTCTAAATTTGCATAGGAATGCACCTTTAGTTAATTTTCCTTCGAACAGCTATTTCAGTGTCATTTAAAAATGCATTTTGTATGATCTATTTCAGAAAAGTATAAGAAAAACCAAAACAGTAAAGGAGGAAAGGGAAACAGGAGGGGGATGGATGGATGGATGGATGGATGGATGGATGGCTTAAAATTGCTGTTTTCATTAAACTTTGAATGTATCAGTAGCAATTAGTATATGTAAATATGTATGTACGCATATATGTATGTCCATATATATTAGAAGTGCACTGCTGTCAATATGAAAACTTATGTGTAAGCTTCAGTAAAGGCAAAGCAAATATTTGCTTTGTCCATGCATTAGCGGTATCTAAATACAACCTATTTGATAGTTGAAAGTATCATTAGGTTCCTGATTCATTGCATTGCTGAGAGTGGCTGTTTATCCTTTCAGTGCTGTAGTATCAGTCTTTTAGCTCTTAGGACAGTATGGAAAATCCATTTATTCTGACCTTACATTAACTTCCACTGGATGTGTAAATAATACTTGAGAACAACATGTACCTTAGGAGATATTAAAGAGTATTCCAGCACAGAATATATCTGTTTTATGAACTTCTTGTAAAAAGAGGCGAGTATCAGACATTTCCAAAGCATACTAGTTAAAGAAGCAATGTAGAAGTAACAAAGCTTTACCTCCCACACTCAGCAGAGTTAGCAAAGCCCTTATTTAAAAGATGTTGTGGCATCTAAAACACAGAAGTTTTCTCTGAATGAGACGTTGCATAAGATTCATTGACTTTTCTGAAATGGATGCTAACACAGCAATCCGTTGACTAGCCTATACAGGGCCATTCGATTGCTATTCCATTCCTGCTTAAATCCCCATGTGTCATATTGATAAGAAGTAGTTATACACCTGAATCTAATATGTGAGATAAACTTTAGCAAGTATATCTGATGATAACAGATACTCTGAAGGTGCAAAGCAGTAGGACCAAAGCTGGATTCTAACAAATATTGCTGTTGGATGTATTGCCTTTCAGATGTAACTGGCAAGTCATAGTTAGCACAGGGAGTGGAAAATGGCAGGAAAATATCATCATCACCCACTAATCAAAATGAGGGTTGATATTTCAATATAATACACCAGAAGAGTGATAGCCAAAATGTGGCTTGGGAACAGCTTATAGAAACTTCATGTATGTTGTCTGAACACTTAGAGGCAAGTGGTGACTTCAGAGCTGGTTCATTCTCTGTGTCATTTCCAGATTTTGGTGGGGTGTGGGGGCTTGATCAAGACACCCTCAGTGGATACCTCCTTAGCTTAGGAAAAGGGAGGAAAAGCGAATAACCTTCTCACACACCATCTCTTACCTTCTAGCATCCTCTCTGCAAAGCCAGTTTTGTGGCACTGTTGAGGCTGGTTTTGACCAACATTGCCACCCTTTGGCACCAGCCTTGGCTCATACTCAAAAGCTGTCTTGCCCATTCATTCCCTTACACTGATCTCAAGCTTGCCATAGGTGTCTGGCTCCCTCTCATTCCCTGCCTATGAGTGCAGCCACCTTGTTCTACAGGGCACATAATAGGTGGCTTCCTCATGAATCCTGTGCAGCAGAAGGATAAGTCTTGGCTGTATAGCCAGCTGGAAGGAGCCGGATTTTGCTGGGAAATGAGTGCATAAGAAGGACCCTTCTTCCCAGGCTCATTTTCCATTCCATCGGAGTCCCCACCAGTTGACCAGACTTTGGTGGGCTGACAGAAGATTGTGAATTTGGGAGGATTTTGATGAAAGTAAGCATGGTTGGGACCAGACAAAAACGGAATAACAGATAATAAAAATGCCTCAAGTTGGAATCCAGTTTGGTTCTTTGTGAGACAGCAGAACAAGTAGAGAGACATCCACAGAACCTTTCAATAGTAACACCAAGGAGTAGTTTCTTGGCAAGCTGCTGAAATGATAGAGCCAAGTGAGATGCTTGGTCCTTCCTATTTCTTATGGCTTTTACATCTGTAGTACCGATGGCTACTCCCTGTGTGACCTGGAAAAGCCTACTAACCTTATCCTGAAGACAGCTCTGCTGTTCTAGGGCTGCTGTTAGTAGGATCAGGATGTTCCCAGTTGGGATTGCTGTCTGCTTTAGCCTCCTTCTCCATCTGCAACTCCAAACCAGCCTCCTCCCATTCCAGCTAACTTGAGCATGATTGCTGGGATGGGAGCCAGGTGTGAGTGTGCACATGAGTGTGGATATGTATGTGCTCTCCTCAGCCTCACTTTGTATGTAGCCCTTGAGGCTAAAATGGAATTGTGCCATCCTGCTGTAAAGCATGGGCCACCATGCCTCATGAATTCCACTTGTGACTCTGGAGACCATCATGTCTGTACAGACATCTGAAGGTCAAATCCTTTTGAGGGGCTTTGTTCCATTTGCTCTCTGAGGTCTTCCCAATCCTGCTTTTGAGTCTGAGTGCGTCCTTAACTGGATCTTCTGTCATGTGGTAAACTCTTGGTGTTGGCGCAGGGCAAATGACCTAGTTCTAAAGACATGGAAGAGTCTTCTTGGTGTATTTCCTAACCTTAGTCCAAGATGCTTGGATTATGCTGCACGGTGTGGGCCTAGTGTCATGAACATGGTCTTTCTGTTTATGTTCCACCAGCTTTGGGTGCTATTTCACTGGAGAATTTTCCAGAACCAGTCACTAAATCGTTGCTGGGACATAAACAATCACGGGATTTTTCTTACTTATTGAAGTAAAATAACATATGCAGAAATCATCAGACTCAGCAATTACAGGGAACCTGCACTGAACTTTATGTTGCCTGTACAGCTGAGACTTAATTACAGCTACTCATTTTTTAATGGATTTCTAAATTGCAAGACTCTACAATCATTTTAAGAACAAGGCTCTTGCTGTTAACGTTTCTGTTGCTGCCCTCTAATGGACACAGGAGAAACAGCCAAACAGCCTAGGTAAATATTTTGCTTGTAGAACTAGCGCGGTTTTAATTTTGCAAATTTACAACATCAGACTGTGAGAGAAAAGACTGAAGACCAAGCTAGCCAAATGGGATGCATCTAGCCCAGTGGTGTAGTAGAGGACAAAGCACAGCTCAGGGGCCTTATTTCAGAGCTGTTGCAGCAATGTTGTTTGCTGGAGAAACAGGATAATCAATGGGCATAAAACCAATGGAAAAGCAATGAGTTTACAATGATGCTTTCATGTTTTGTGACAAAATCAAGCAAAGTCTGGTTAATTTATTGCTTTTCTTTGATGGGGTTCCCACTTCAGGCTATGATGATTGCTAGCCTGAAACAGTAGTGCTTCTTTAAATGGAGTCACTTCTTCATCAGTTCACAGTTCTGTTCAAAGTTTGAAGTTAACCTATGCAGTCAGAAACAAGCGCCTCTATGGAGTTCTATGGAGCTAACTCCCAAGGTTTCTATTTATTTAGACAGGATTGCAGTCTTTCTGATCCTAAAAAACGGGATATTATGCTATGTACTCTGGGTCAGCCCTATTAGTAAAGTTGAGGCTATAGCACTTCTTCCTATGCACTGAGTCTAACCCATGGGTCCTCAAACTATGGCCCGCAGGACGGATCCGACCTGCCATGGCTTTCCATTTGGCCCGCGCCGCCATTCCTCGCCTGCGCGCCGCTTGCTGCATGGGCGGGAAGGTGGTGGCTTGCTTGCTTGCTCGGAGATGGTCTCCGAGTGAGCAAGCTGCCGCTGCCACCTGCCTCCCATACACGCGTGCTCGCCGCTGCCTCACAGCACAGGCGGGGAGGTGGTGGCTCACTCAGAGATGGTCTTGGAGTCGCTGGGAGATTTCCGAGCGAGCCAGCCAGCCACCGCCGTGCGCACCCGATGCCGCCTCATGCGTGCCCCCAAGCACCCCCCACCTCACCAGCCCGTGACATTCACTGCAGTCTTTCAACTGGCCCCCTATTCAAAAAGTTTGAGGACCCCTGGTCTAACCCCTTTTTAAATACCTGGATAGGATTCTTATGTTTCTCTAATCAGGAAGGACTAAGCAGCTCTGACTGTTGTGTGTCCCAGACTTCCCTTGCCGTTGACAGTACAATATTTTTTTCTTTATTTTTTTCCCTACTGAATAGTTCTGGAGTTTAAAGCCTGTTTGAGCTTTTGTGCTGTCTTCATTAATCATTGCTGATCCCAAGTGTTGTGGGAGGTAAAGACAGGGGCTTGGCAGGGTTATTCCTTTGTAAGTGAAAAGCACTTTATGTATGCTTGGAAACCCAAATTCCTTTGCACAAGCACTTTCAGCCAGGTAGCTGCAGTAAAACAGAGATAAGATTGGTTGCTCTTTTTACTTCTCCTGACCCTCCCTTCACTTGGATTAACTCCTGAGACAAATTCCCTGCTGCAGACAGAGGCCAGCACAAACATGATTCAGATATCTCTCAGATTTTCTGCCAGATGCTTGCCAGTAAAAAAAAAAGTTAGGATAGATTGGTGTTAAGCAAGCAAGCAAGGAAGGCAAGGAATAGAGAGTTATGGAACAGGGGATGGGGAAATGGGCTAGACAAAAAGGGGTTAACACTTTCAGGACAGGAGCTTGCAGCTTCTTCCTCTCTCAATCTCTTATGAGCTATTAAAATGGAAGACATTTCAGATTCATTGATTTTCAGTGGAGGTGAGTTAAGCACGTTAGCCAAAAGCTCATTTCCATAGGAATCAACAGAATGGAAAACTGCTTAACTTTGTCTGGATTGTACTCTATATAATCATTTTATACGTGAGTCCTTTGCTTCCTTTCAAAATCTCAGCGCAGCCTAGCGGTTCCCTGGGCTGTCTCATTTAGGTGTGGATTAAATCTCAGTTCTCTGACTTCAGTAATGCTTAAAGCATTGGGTGCCCTTCACTCCATCTTCCCCAGCCTGATGTTCTCCTGGATATTGGGCACAAGATGTGCTTGTTATTGTACACTTCTCGGGAGCAATATTGGACCACTACTCCCATCATGCCCAGCCATTGCGGCCAATCACTTGGACTTCACTATGAGGTGAGATGAAGCAGGTCACTTCGAGTGGCAGTCTGCAAAGGGGTGGGGGTGACATTCCTTTCTACCAGTCCCTACAAGTGTGTCCACATTGAACTACAGTTAAGAGCGTGTGCCCCTCTCTCCCCCCTCCCCACTTTCTGTCTCTGGGGGAGAGAGAGAGAGAAGTTAAACTAAACAAATGTCATGGTCTCTTTTTCCAGCTACTGACCAAAGATGTGAAGCAAAGACTGGGCTGTCAGGAAGAAGGTGCGGCTGAAGTAAAGAGGCACCCGTTTTTCAAGAGCATGAATTTCAAACGCTTAGAAGCAGGAATGCTGGACCCTCCTTTTGTCCCTGATGTAAGTGATGCTTGAAAGAGAATCACAGGACTGAAGTGGAACTTGAAAACAATACTCAGCACACCTCTTGAGATTCTTCTCACCTGCTGGTTTCTGTTTTTTGTTCCTGTTGAGGTCTATTTTCCAGTATAGTTACGTGATCTGGGATGCCTTGATCCAGTGAAGTTTTTGTTCAATTGCAGGCAGAAGGCTTATTTCAGAAGACTATTTTTGAGGTGGCAAAGTCTCTTTAGGGTGTAAATAAGTTTAAAAGTCATTGAGATGAAAGGTTTGTGTCCTTTTCGTTAACTGTATTTCTATTTTAATGTTTTCTAAACCACACTGAAAGGTAATTTAAAGGAATACTTTGCATAACGTGAATCATTCCCAGGGAACTCTTAGCAGCTTGTAAATTACAATTCTTGGAATATTTGGGGAGATGAAATGGCAGTTCAATGGGAATAAATGTGACTTAGAAATGTGGATTACATTCCCTTGCAATTGTGGTGTGGTGAAGTGGTCTTCAGAATCATCCCATATAAGGTGAGAATGGGAGCTCAATTTACTTCACTTGGATTAACCCAGTACAAATGTGCTTGTATCTTTGTTGCTGTTAATGTTTTGAAAAGTACAGTAAATTGTGAGTTCATTGTGTATATTCACATTATTCCACCACACAGAGATGGGTAGAACAATCTAAGCAGCACCAGGAAGTAGCTGAGCACAGGAGTTCTAGTGCCTCATTTCCAACCCTGATGGCTAGAGCCAGCCAAGGCAAAGGTGGGTGTTTGGGGCTGCAGGGGGCAGGTGTGCTGGACTTTTCAGCCAGATGGCATTGTGTATTTCTAAATTCTCTCCCAGTGAGAGCAATTTGGAGTGGGGGAAGAATTAGCTCCACCAGCCCCCCATCTCAGATCAGGTCCATCTAGCCCAATGGTGGTGAATCTATGGCACATATGCCACAGCGGGCATGCAGAGCCCTCTCTGTCAGCACACGAGCCAAGTCACCCCAGCATCGCCCCAGCAGCAGAGCATTGGATAACAGTGCACACAGGGGCCATGTGCATGCTCGGAAAGGAGTAGTGGTGCCAGGCGATGATGTCACAAGCCGCAACTCATGAGCCACGACTCGTTCAAACTTATGCATGGCCACTCAGTGCACTCCCAGGGATAACTAGCACTGGTTCTCTGTTGTTTTCTTAAAAGTAAAACCTCACTTCTCAGGTTTTATTGCGGTGTTGAAACATTGCGATAAATGAGTGGGTTTTGGGTTGCTGTTTGGTAATTCAGTCTATAAAAGGTTCACCATCACTGGGTTAGAGTAAGAAAAATGAGGTATCCTGGCTTGATTTTGATGGTTGGAATGTGTTTAGAATGGGCACAAATGAGGAGCTGTGCAGGAAAAGCTACTCAAGGAAAGCTTTTTCAAAATTGACCTCTTTTCACAGGAACTTTCGCCCAATATTAGGGTTGAGGCTGTGCACCAGGGTAGGCTTGGGGTTAGAAAAACGGGGTGTCCTGGTAGGATTTTTTCTGGTTGGAATGTGTTTAGAATGGGCAGAAACGATGAGCTATGCTGAAAGAACTACTCAGGGATGGCTTTTTCAAAATTGCATTATTTTCAATGGTGTTTTACCCCTATATTAAGGTAGGGGTGTGCACCAGGGTAGGGTTAGGGTTAGAAAAATGAGGTGTCCTGGTGTACTTTTGATGGATGGAACGTGTTTAGAATGTGCACAAATAATGAGCCATGCAGTAAAATCTGCTCAAGGAAGCTTGTTTCAAAATCGCAATATTTTCAATGGTATTTCACCCCTGTATTAGGTTAGGGGTGTGCACCAAGGTGGGGTTAGGGTTAGGAAAACGAGGTGTCCTAGATTGGTTGTGATGGTTGGAATGTGTTTAGAATGGGCCCAAATGATGAGCTGTGCAGAAAATGCTACTCAAGGAAGGCTTTTTCAAAATCACCCTCTTTTCGGTGGAACTTTGCCCCTATATTAGGGTTAGAGATGTGCACCAGGGTAGGGTTCAGTTTAGAAAAACGAGGTGTCCTGGCTTGGTTTTGATGGTTGGAATGTGTTTAGAATGGGCCCAATTGATGAGCTGTGCAGAAAGAGCCACTCAAGACTGGCATTTTAAAATTGCATTCTTTTCAAAGGTATTTTAACCCTATGTTAGGGTTAGGGGTGTGCACCAAGGTAGGGTTGGGTTCGGAAAACAAGGTATCCTGGAGTGGTTTTGATGGTTGGAATGGGTTTAGAATGGGCAGAAATGATGAGCTGCACAGAAAGAGCTACTCATGGACGGCTTTTTCAAAATTGCATTATTTTCAATTGTATTTTACCCCTATATTAGGGTTAGGGGTGTGCACCAGGGTAGGGTTAGGGTGCGAAAAACGAGGTGTCCTGGCTCAGTTCTGATCATTGGAATGTGTTTAGAATGGGCGGAAATGATGAGTTGTGGAGAAAAAGCTACTCAAGGAAGTCTTTTTCAAAATTTCCCTGTTCACTGGAACTTTCACCCTATATTGGGGTTAGGAGTGTGCACGAGGCTATGCTTAGGGTTCTTAAAACGAGGTGTCCTGATATAATTTTGATGGTGGGAACATGTTTAGAATGGGCAGAAATGATGAGCTGTGCAGTAATAGCTGTTCAAGGAAGCTTTTTTCAAAATCGCTATATTTTCAATGGTATTTCGACCCTATATTAGGATTAGGGGTGTGCACAAGGGTAGAGTTAGAGTTCGAAAAATGAGGTTTCCTGGATTGTTTTTGATGGTTGGAACGTGTTTGGAATGGGCAGAAGTGATGAGCTGTGCAGAAAAAGCTGCTCAAGGAAGCTTTTTTTTGAAAATCGCACTATTCTCATTCATATTTTACCTTTATATTTTAGTTAGGAGTGTGCACCAAGGTTGGATTAGGGTTAGAAAAATGGGTTGTCCTGGTATAATTTTGATGGTTTGAATGTATTTAGAATGGGCAGAAATAATGAGCTGCGCAGAAAGAGCTATTCTAGGAAGTCGTTTTCAAAATCGCCGTTTACAGTGGAAATTTCACCCTCTATTTGGGTTAGGGGTGTGCACCAGGCTATGGTTAGGGTTCTTAAAAACAGGTGTCCTGGTATAATTTTGATGGTGGGAACATGTTTAGAATGGGCAGAAATAATGAACTGTGCTGAAAGAACTACTCAGGGATGGCTTTTTCAAAATTGTATTATTTTTAAAGGTGTATTACCCCTATATTAGGGTTTGGCGTGTGCACCAGGGTAGGGTTAGGGTGTGAAAAACGAGGTGTTTTGGTATGATTTTGATGGTTTGAATGTCTTTAGAATGGGCAGGAATGATGAGCCGTGCAGAAAAAGCTACCTAAGTAAGGCTTTTTCAAAATCACCCTCTTTGCAGTGGAACTTTCTCCCTATATTAGGGTGAAGGGTATGCACCGGGATAGGGTTAAGGTTAGAAAAACGTGGTGTACTGGTAGGATTTTTTCTGGTTGGAATGTGTTTAGAATGGGCAGAAATGATGAGCTGTGCCGAAAGAACTGCTCAAGGATGGCTTTTTCAAAATTGCATTATTTTCAAATGTATGTTACCCCTATATTAGGGTTAAAAGTGTGCAACAGGGTAGGGTTAGAGTTAGAAAAAGCAGTGTCCTGCTATGATTCAGATGGGTACAATGTTTTTAGAATGGGCAGAAATGATGAGCTTTGTAGGAAAAGCAACTCACGGAAGGCTTTTTCAAAATCACCATCTTTTCAGTTGAATTTTCACCCTACATTTGGGTTAAGGGTGTGCACCAGGATAGGGTTAAGTTTTGAAAAATATGGTGTCCTGGTAGTATTTTTTCTGGTTGGAATGTGTTTAGAATGGGCAGAAATGAGGAGCCATGCACAAAAAGCTGCTCAAGGAGGACATCTTCAAAATTGCCCTCTTTTTAGTGGAACTTTTGCCCTATATTAGGGTTAGGGTTGTGCACCATGGTAGGGTTAGCCTTAGAAAAATGAGGTGTCCTACTACGATTTTGGTGGTTGGAATGTCTTTTGAATGGACAGAAATGATGAGCTGTGCAGAAAAAGCTACTCAAAGAAGGCGTTTTCAAAATCACCAATAGAAATAGAGAACTAGTTATAGAACAAAGGGGACTATGGCTCTGCGCCATGGCAGTTATGCCATGGGTTCCGCAGGGGTCCATTTTGTCCCCTTGCTATTTAACATCTACATGAAACCACTGGGAGAGGTCATCAGGAGGTGTGGGCTGCGGAATCATCAGTACGCTGATGATACCCAGCTCTACCTCTCGTTTTCCACTAATCCAGGTGAGGCAGTGGCTGTGCTGAACCAGTGCCTGGCCAAGGTAATGGGCTGGATGAGAGCCAATAAACTGAAGCTCAATCCAGACAAGACGGAGGTCCTGTTGGTGGGTGGCTTGGGCCTCAGGATGGGGGACTTGGGCCTTGTCCTAAATGGGGTTGCACTCCCTCTGAGGGACAGGGTTCGCAGCTTGGGAGTGCTCCTCGACCCTGGGCTGTCTCTAGAAGCTCAGGTGACGGCGGTGTTTGTATGGAACCCATCAGGGACTTCTGTAGCCTTTTAATCAGCTTGTGCATACCTTGTTGAGCATGACATTGGAACTTGAAGTTCTGGTTTGTTTAGGGACTTTACAATCTATGACTGAATTGTTGGGTTGTTCAGCCTCCAGTCAATGTTTTTGGGGCTCACATTTTATGACAAGACTGTGATTGATCCAAAAGGGAAGAAAAGCTTGCAAATGTCTCATCTTCAGTTAAAGAGAGTGGATTATGTGTAAGACACTGTGGAGAGGCTAGATCCAATTTTGTAATGAAAAACTGTGGATTATTATTGCTTTTGAAGAAGACCATAGATAAGGTCAGTGACAGAGCAACTTACCCTTTTCATGAAATATACTTCAGCTGCACCAGACAGCATGTATTTTCATGACTGATTTTTTCCTGGACCTCCTTATCTAGCCTTAAGGTTCTGATGTGGTTCCCACTGCAATCCCTC